GGCTCCTCGGTTTCCTGAGGATGGCCCAGAGGACACGGGCTTTCCACCACCACGTACTGCATCCCCCAGAGCTGCTTCCCAGCCAGCTTCTCTAGGCTGACGACAGAGCAGTGCTGGTCGAGACTTAGCAATCTGCACTGTGCTTCCTAATAGAAAACATCTGTTTGATTTCATTTTACTTTTGAGACAAGGTCTCACCATGCAGCTCTGGAACCTGGAACTCCCTGGGTAGATCACGCTGGTCTCAAACTCAGAGTCACAGAGACCTGCCTGTCTCTGCCTCCTAGTGCTAGAACTAAAGGCCTGCACCACCACTCCTGGTTTATTAAAACAAAACCTGCCCGTCAAGATGGCTCAGAGAAGAAAGGTACTTGCCAACAAGCCTGACCACAGAGTTCAACCACCAGGACACACATATTGTCCTCTGATCCCCCCACGAACACTGTGTCGCGCGCGCGTGCGCGCGTGCGCGCGCACGCACACACACACACACACACACACAAATCCTGGGAAGACTGACCTCCACAGAAAGGCCTGAAGAATGACGCTGTCAATAAAGAGAACTTACTGACTGATCAACAGGAGGTCGATCTCCGCTGGGTCGATGAGGTCAATGTAAGGGAGAGCATCCATTCCTTCCAGGCCAGGGTGGATCCCACAGTCCAGCTGAAGGAGGCAAAACCCAGCAAACAGATCACAACGGGCTCCAGATGTGATTACAACTCATCTGGCAGACACTGAGACCGCACTCAGAGGAGCCTGGGGTGTGTGCACTTGTGGGGTGTTTACCCACCAACCCCACAGCACCCCAGAGTTTTCTTGAGTGCGGTCAGCAGGAAATATTAGATAGAAGGATTTATAGCAGAGAATCTTGTGGAGATAAACAGATAGAAAATAAAGAATAGCCTTGAGAGGGCCTGGAACCTATTCCAACAGGCCCGGACTGCCTCTGGCCCAGGGTTTTTATAGAGACGCCAAGGGGTGGAGCAAAAGACCTCCTCCCCCAGCACAGCCAAGTGCAGGCCATCTCAGACACCTGCACTCAGGCCCGTGGTCCTGATCATCCTCTATGCAGACCTGCTGGGTAAAACCACGAGGAACCCAAGAACGGGACGCCACATGCACTCAGACCTTGGTCTCAGGAAAGACCAGGGTGTGCCCGAAGCAGCTCTTACACTTAAGACAGAGCTAACATGTAGCAGCACAGGATACGGAATACAAGATGTCACTGGGGTTCACAACACAAGCGTGCTAAGTTTGCAGGTCTGGAGCCCTTCTCCCTCCAGGGAGAGCACTATCATACAGGCTGATGACGGGATTTACTCTACGGGTGTTATTACCAAGTGAACAAAGTCTTAAATGAATGACTTTCATGGGAGCTGGAGAGATGGCTCACTGGTTAAGAGCACTGGCTGCTCTTCCAGGGGAACCTGGTTTGACACCCAGCACCCACATGGTGGCTCACAACCATCCACAGCTCCATTTCCAGGGGATCCAATGCCCTGTCTGGCCTCCGCAGACAGCAGGCACGAACACAATGCACAGATATCTGTACAGGCCAAACACCCACACAGACAAGTGATCTTGTAAAACAGGTGACTGGGTACATATGTCTGTGGTTTTAAGACTGAGCGAAGTGTGAGGAAGAAAGAGGAGACAAAGGAACAGGAGCCAGGGCCCACATCTCTACTGGGACCTTGTGAACCAGGATTCCTGACCCCTTCACCTCGCAGCAGGGAGACGGACCTGACAGAGCCAGCAGGACCAAAGCTGACACACATCCAGGGCACTTAAATCCTTGATGTCTTCCAAAGAGGGGGCGGGGGGCTCGTCAGGTTATCCAGACACTTCAGGAATGGACAGGGACGTAGAAGAGACACTAGTCTGGCAGGTCTAGTTGGCAGTTTTACAGTCTTACAAGGTATCTTTTTAGGTTACCTGATGCTTTAATTACTAAGCACGAGTGTCAGGCTCTCTCATCAGTGTTGGCTACATGCATACACGTCTCTTTCAGCTGATGCTGGAGAGAACGGGCTCACGAGGACAGACAGGGCTACACTGTGTTCTTGACTATACAAACAATCACTCCCCAGGCTAGGGTGTGATTCAGTGGCAGACTATGTGCTTGGCGTGCACAAGGCCCAAAGTTCAGTTTCCAGTACCACCACCAATAACACTTACCATGATTTTTCTTCCTTTGAACTCCAGAATAATGCATGATCTTCCCACTTCTTGGCCCGCACCACTGCAAACATTGAGAGGGAGAAACAAAATGATTAAAGAACCCGTTACAGCAGTCCAGAGCTGGGTTTGGTGGCACGTACCCACAATGCCAGCACCCACAGTCTACAGAGAGTAAGTCAGCGTGCAGCAGCCCCTGCCTCACGCCACCCCACTAACGTTCGACACAATGAACTCAAACTCTTTCCCAACGTCAGTTAAGTTCCTGAGACAGGGGACAGGTCTACAGTTTCAAACAGAGGGTGCCCACCCAGGTCGGAAGGGGTGGAAAGCAGTCCTCGGGAGCTGAGGGATGTTTAAGATGTAAACGAGACGTCACACAACACTAGAACAACTGTTTCAGATGAGGCCACCACGTCACAGCCTTTCATCTTGAAAGCATCATACCAAGGAGTCTGGTTAGTCACCCACACTGTCAGCCCTTCCCTTTCTGGGCACAACTGAAGCTAAACCTAACTAAAGCTTTTGATTGTATTTTCCCAAAAATCTAGCTCACAATTCACTCAGTGCTCTTATCATGGACCTAACTGCCCAGGACAGGTATGTGCCCGATACAGCGATCAGATCTCAAAGACGCTGTGGTCTAGCAGCAAAGAGGCATGAGATGGACCCATGCATACCCATCTACACTGGGCTAGCCATGGATTAAGAGAATAAGAAACAGAGGTGGTGGAACTTTCCTGAAATCCCAGCACTCAGGAGGTAGAGAGAGAATAATGTTGTCTGGTGGGCAGAGCTGTGAATCTGAAGCCAGTTTGGCCTACAGAGAGCTCCAGGACAGCCAGGGATACATGGTGAGACTCTGCCTCAAATAATAAATGAATTAATTCCATGGTCGTTTTCATCCCCAGTAAAAATTCCCCGTTTCTTATCTATACGAATTCTCATTTCATTCTGAAGCCAGCTTGCCCACAGAGCTGTCTGTCTGTCTGTCTGTCTGCATTTCCTCTCCTCCCATCTACTCCCCTCACCAGCTGTTTCCTAGATGGTCCTTTTTGCTAAGGACGAGCGGCCCTACTTAATGTAGCCGGTCCCTCAGCAGCTGTCCCGCCCTTGTTTAATAGCTCCGTCAAGCACTTCCCGGCTTCGGACCCCACACTCCGGTCTCTCTTGCTGACTTTCCCATTTTTCCCACTCCTCTGCCTTGGCTCTCCAGCCTCTGAAGTGGTATGCCCAAGTCTCTCCCGGGACCTCTTCCCAACTTCATGGTCTTCATGTTCATGAGTCTGACATGCTGGTGACGTCAGAGTCTGTATCTACAGCCCAGACTGTTCTGTACTCTAGACCTGATACACACACCTGACATTTAAGCCTCTTTACCGGCTAAAGTATCTGCCAGGTACTTGATGTTCAATATGCCAAGATCGTTTTCACAACCTCCTGGACCGGCTCTTTCTTCCTGGAATGTTCTGCTCTTGGCTATGGACACAGCTGGCTCCTTCAGATCATTTGGATCCCAGCTCAGGTTTCACCTTCTCAGACCCTTCCTCGACTACCTACTCTAATTTATCCGTTACCGCCAGCCTCAATCTGCCAGCCCACACCACGGCAGTGTAACGGACACACGACGGTATTTACTGATGGCGTGTTTCACATATCACAAGGGCGGCTCCATCCAGAGACATGGCTATCTTGTCCACTGCTGTACTGCTATGGGGTCCGAGACGTTTGCCGAACTCCCAAGTCAGAAGCCTTAGAAACGCTATGCTGAGTGAAGGAAACCAAGCAGGAAGGGCTCGTATTGTGTGATTCTGTTTGTATGAAATGTCTCAAAAAGGCAAAGCCACAGGAAAGGAAAATGGGACTGATAGCTGCTGAGGGCTCGGGAGGGTGGGGAGACCTGAGCGTGATTCCCAATGGGCTTTTTAAAAAAGAGGCTAATGAAAATGTTCTGGAATTAGGCACCACAGCTGTAATAAAGGTTATATAATTCCTCAAATACACTAAAAATCATTGAAGCTGACCATGATGGCACATCCTGTAATCCCAGCACCTGGGAGACCGAGGCAGGAGAACTGTCCTGAGTCTGTTCCAGACCAGTGTGGGGCTACATAGTGAAACCCCATGTCAATACAAAACACCCCCACACACACACCCAAAGCACACACTGAACTGCACAACTGCACAGCTTTATAAGCTGCCTGGTGAGTTTCATCTCCACAGCCTCCCCACAACACCACAACCAAACTTCTTTCCCAGTGCACCGAGGAACCTGGAATGTCCCCTCTGGGCTCCATGACTATCCCTTCAGATAACGTCCGAGCAGTTACAAAACCCTCCAGACTCCCCTTCTGAACTCCCGGGACCCAGTTCTCCCCAGCCCACCCCCTCACCTTCCTGGCCGCAAGCCCTCGTCACCCAGAACCGGACATGTCGATGACAGCCGGCCAGCCTCTTCACTCCAGCCACCTCTGTAGCCATCTACCACACTGCGGGGTTCTGTTGTTTCCTTGTCACAACACTGACTGCAGCAAACAACACACGTTGCCACTTCGCCCAAAAGTGATGCTTTTACTCTGTCCCTTCTGGACGGCTCAGTGGGTCACTAGCAAAAGGCCTACTGAGTGCTTTTAAAGGGGTAGGGGGAGCAGCCACATTTTTTTTTTTTTTTTTTTTTTCTAGACAGGGTTTCTCTGTGTAGCTTTGCGCCTTTCCTGGAACTCGCTCTGTAGCCCAGGCTGGCCTCGAACTCACAGAGATCCTCCTGCCTCTGCCTCCCAAGTGCTGGGATTAAAGGCGTGCGCCACCACCGCCTGGCTGAAATAAACGGACGCTCCATGAATTTGCGCGTCATCCTTGCGCAGGGGCCATGCTAACCGTCTCTGTATCGTCCAATTTTAGTCTACGTGCTGCCGAAGCCAGCACGGCCACATTCCTAATGTAATCCCCACTGTGTTATATGATTGCTCCAAATCCCTCGGTGGCTGACGATAACTGGTGCGATACACACTCAAACTCTTCAGCTCTACACAAGGTCCTTCGTAAGGTGGGCCCTGACAGCCTGCCCCAAGTCATCTGCTATCTGTTAACCACAACCAGAGCGAATTGGCCACGAGTTGGGACCACTCTCATCTTCCCCTGGAACACTCTGGCTCCTACAGTGTCTTTAATTTCGACGAATCCTTTAACATGGCCACACATCAATCACATTTCCAGGATGCATGAGATATCCTTGCCTCAATCTGTTAGAAAGTCCCATTTCCAGGCTCCCTGGCCCTTAGCACAATGCCTACCTGCACTCATATAATAGAAGTCAAGTGAGCATGATTTACTGAACACTGCCCATGAGTTTTCCTCCTTACAAATAACTGTTTCCACCTGAGGAAGTGGGTTCAGGCAGGCTACTTCCCTATTAAATAGAAAAGACTGGGTTTCAGGTCTGACTCCAAGGTAGCTGTCTCCTGTTTTTACAAACTCATCTCAGGCCTCTCCACTTTGTTCTACAATTTCACCAAAGGAGTGAAATCAGTGAACTCTTACTCCATGCCTGGTGAGGTATGTGATACTTGCTGAGTGTGTACAGGGGGGCGGCAGGGACACGTGGGTGCCATCATTGGGCAGTGCTCAGTAAATCTTACTGAATGAATGGGTGATGGAGCTAGTTTCTCTCTTCTGAAAACTGTACGCATTCATGCGGTGCTAGCTAGTATCTAAAACCGCGCCATCGTCGTGTGTGTGTGTGTGTGTGTGTGTGTGTGTGTGTGTGTGTGAGAGAGAGAGAGAGAGAGAAACCGCTCATCTGTACCAATACATCCTTCACCTTTACATGCCTGAGGCAATTCTCTGCAAACATTCCAGGGCGCTGAAAGTCATTTCCACCAAAAACCCGCCTTCGACGCTAATGGAGCGCGGGATTTCTCTCCGTGACACCTCTGCTTTCTCCTCTGCAACTCCCTCCCGCCGTTCTGCTAAGGTCTGAGCTCGGAGGGTCCACACTCAAGTACCCCGGCCATCAGAGCACGCGTGGGGTCCCGGAGATAATGAGACAGACGCAGTTCTCCCGTGCACGGTCCTCCTCTACCGGTCGGTTCCCCCGAGGCGGCCGTGACCTGACGTGCGAGATCCGGACTTGTGCTAATTGGCAACGCTCCCTTTAGGAAGGCGCCCAGCGACCTGGATTTTTTTTTTCTTTCTCCAACTCCGACATACCCTCCCCCGAGACTGAAGGCAAAGGGAAATGACAGGCAACCTAGCAGGCCCCGCGACCAACACTGTCCGAGCCTCCCCGCGGCGACCCCTCCCGGCTCTCACACAACCGGGGCGCGGGGCTTCGCTCCCTCCCTGCTCGTCCCTTACAGGGGTCGGATCAGCAGCTGGTCGCTCTCCTCCGCAGGGATCGCCGACATCCTGGCAGCCTCAGGAGCGGCGTGGACCCGGAACCCGCCGTCTCCCAACCGAAAGCCCGGCCACGGCGAACCGGGGAAGAGAAAACCGCACGCCCCACGACCACCAGCACACGACTTCCGGCGTCCTAAAGCGCCCAGAAGGAAGCTCCTCCCTCCAACTTCCGGTCCGAGAACAAGGTTCCTCCGGTTCCCCGCGGCGCGGATTCGGAACTGGAGGCGGGGGCGCCTGACGACTGCGCCTGCGCAGAACTGGGGCGTGGCCGAGAGGACCCGGGGGCCGGAGAACTGGCAAAGCTGGAGCTGGAGTGCGAACCGGAGTAGCCGCCGGGCCGCCGCTGCTTGCACCATCCTACACCCTGCCAGGCGCCCGAGGCCCGGGGACGCACGAACCCAGGCGGGGAGGTGAGAACCGGGCCGGGTGGCACGGGGAGGTGGGGGTCTCCCGGAGCCCGCCATCTGCGGCCCCACGCCACGAGGCGGAGGCACCGACTGAGTGCAAACCGGGGAAAGGAAGAGGAGCCTCGGTGCCCGGGCAGGGAGGGACCCGCGTTCCCGTGACAGGTCCACCGCCCGCCTCCCCGAGGACCAGGCTCAGCAAGGGCCCTGAGGCCTCCCTCCGACTGCTGCTGCACCCCGATCCTGGGGTCGGAGTTGGCTGTCTGCATCCTCACTTGTGCGAGGCTTGTGTGCAGAGAGAGAGCTTTGGAAGCCTGCTCTGGTCTGGGTCCCCAAGTTAACTTTGTGAGGTGGGACAAGTTACTGGATCTCTGGCTTGGCCGCCTCTTGGAAATGCAGCTGGGCGTTCCCACCGCTCCGGAGGCGCAGAGGACCCGGGGGACCGGCTGCTCCTCATGGGCGGGAGTGAGGACTAGCGGTTTTTGGAGCGCCTGGCGCTGCATTGGGCGATGTTGGATGTTTTAGGACTAGTTGTGTTTGGGATTCCCAAGGCAGTTCTCAGAACCCTCCGCTAGCCTGTCTATCCACCGAGAACCACCCCAGCCCCGCCTTGGACTAGTTAGTTGAGAGAGCGAGAGTTTTCAGTAGAAGATGGCATGTTTTAATGCTGTGATCTGATCAGCATTCAAGATGTGGGTCCTAGAAGTCCAAGGAAGGCTCTCTTAGTAAGAGGCCTGAAATAAGTTCCGAGAGGCGAGTAGCTGGCAAGAGACATAAAATGAAGAGTTCTGTGGGAGGAGAGGTTGGAGCACAGCGTAAGAGCACCCGGGGAGCATGGATAGCACCGCCCAGAACCGAGGCGGCTTTGCGTTCCCTGGAGATGAACTGAGGGTGTAGCAGGTGGTGGGTGGAGAACCTTGAGTGTCTTGCCGGAGGGATTTGACCTTCAGTCCTAGTGTGGGGAGCCAGTGAAGGCTTTCCAGCAGGCTAACAGTGGTCTCTGACCTGTGTTTGAAAGAAATCTTTGTCATCTTTTTGGCTAAACTCTGGGGGCGGATCTTAGAGCCGCAAGCTCTGTAGGACAAGATCACTTATCCCAAGAGCTGGCTCAGTGGTTAAGAGAATGCTCTTGATGAGGATCCAAGTTCGATTCCAAGCACCCATGTTCAGTGGCTTAACACCAGTCTCAGGGAACCCTACTCCTACACACACAGATTTTTTTGTTTTGTTTTTCTTTTTGTTTCTAAGGTAAAGGCTTTTTAATCCACCAAGTATCTTCAGTGGATTTGTGGATTCCTTCAATGTGTCAAACTGTGTACTTGGGCATTTTCTACAGATTGAGGATTCATCACATTCACGATGAAAAGAATGCCATTAATCCGGCACATGTGTGGGGCTGGTTACAGTGCACTCTGGGATCCTGGTGCTTCATTGGATGTGGGGGCTGAAGAGCAATGAAGGATTGATGACTTTCTGGTCTCCTTCAGTGATGGCTTAATTGCCTGAGTAGGAGAGATGAGGGAGGAGCTCGTCTGGAGGGAGGGGGGGGGGATATTCAGCCTTTGACAAATTTGCATTTGATGAACCTGTGTAACATCCAGCTGGTGGACAGCATCCCCAGGCTCACTTTTATGCATGAATAACTTAGAAGCAACGATAGTTTGCTTAAGTACCCGCATCCAGAATAGCAGTAGATACCAAAGACCAACCAGTTCTTTCCCCCTCGAGTTCCTGGATTCATGCCGGGAAGCAAGTTTGGAGACATTGCAAAGGCCTTAGTGATGTCTAAATCATTGCCAAGGGTTTGTGGGTATGCTTCAGGATTCTACTAACAAGAGAACCAGATTTTATTTATTTTTAAGTAACTTTTAAAATTAATATAAGTATTTATTTATATATGTAACCATAACTCCACATCTAATGAGTTCTGCATCCTCAAATTCAAACAACCCCAGATAATCATTTACTTATTTTTTGGTTGTTTGTTTGTTTATTTATTTATTTATTTATTGAGACATGGTTTCTCTCTGTAGCTCTGGCTCTCCTGGAACTCAATCTCTAGACCAGGCTGGCCTTGAACACAGAGAGCCTGGTGCTGGGATTAAAGGGGTGCCACCAAGGCCCTGTGGCAGATTTTTAAAGCTGCGTTGTGAAAAGAAGACCAACATTCCATTGTACCGAATAAGTGGAGCCTTTCCCCCTTATCATTATTTCCTAAATAACCCATCATAACAACTATTTCTGTAGTAGTTACATGAGATGTAAAACTGAGGTTCAGCTCAGCGGTGACTGCTTGCCTAGTTACACTAAATAATTTAGAACTGATTTAAAGTGTTTGGGAGGGGGTATGTGTGTGTAGGTTATAGGCATTTTGTGCGGTTATGGAACCGATCCTCTGTAGATACCAAGAGGTCTGCACTAAAATACAATGTGCCCAAGGAAGTCATCAACCAGTACTTAAACTATCACTTCATGGTGCTGCCAGGCTAACCTAGTTTGGCACAGGCCTGGGAACAGGGCTCTGCTGCCATCCATCCCTCACTGCAGGCGTCTTTGGGTGTGGAGTCATCCTTTGCAGCAGCTTCTGCACGACCTTTCACCCTCTTTGCGCCCACCCCAGGCGGTTAGTCCCATAGCGGGCATCCAGCGAGGGTCTGTAGAGCAGACATCTGGCCATGTCCTCGACTGCTCTGGAAACACCTCTATAGACAGTTACACTCAGACCATGCTTTCTTGTGGGCTGCCAGGCCTTGGACACTCTCTCCTCCTGCCCCTGCCCTTTTCTCTTTGAGTTTTGCTCATGGGAATGTTTGTTCTCCAATAGTTTGATTTTTCTTATCTACTCACTCCCACTAAAAATGGACACACATCCCCCCCAACACACACATACACACACACACACACACACACACACACACACACACACACACACCTGGGTCAGCTTTGTCCTTGTGCCCTGAGTCCCCAGCACCTAGGTGCTTCCTGCCTGTCTTAGGGTTTCTATTGCTGTGAAGAGACACCATGACCACAGCAACTCTTCTAAAGGAAAGCATATAAATTAGGGAGGCTCACTTACAGTTCCGAGGTTTAGTCCTTTATCATCATGGTGGGGAGCATGGCAAT